TAAATAAATAGATAGATAGATAGATAGATAGATAGATAGATAGATAAACTTGAGTCGCCTGTAGGGAAATGGATGCACATTGAGACCATAAAGTTAAATAAATGAAACACACAATAAAAGCAAAATAAAAGATAGATAATAGGAAATGAGATAGATCTTTTACAAAAGGAAAGGGAACCAAGAGATGGAAGGAAGGGGAAAGGAATGAAAAAAGAATTAAGTTGTATTATACACATATACCAACTCCCCGTGATATATAATATAACATAATCATGTATTTCATACATGTACAGATAAAAAAATCTTTAAACATGATTGGCAAGCATTAGAGGACTAAACAAGTTCCTGTAAGGACAAATGAGTGGTCCTGAAGGGTATGGCAAGAAGTAGTAGTCAGGCCCACCCCCACCCTGAGCTAGGGTGGAGGCCTTTGGGCCCAGGAGCATTGAGGATCATAGGACAGTTTAGTTAGCACAGTTGGTGTCTTTCATTTAATCAGTCAGCTATACTTTACTGAGTACCTGCTTTATATATGCTAGACACTGGAGGTACACACAGGAATATTCCAGAGTGCCTGACTCAGGCTGCTTCCTCTGTAATGGCATTAGCAAGTACAAGGCATGTGTACATGTGCATAATAATTATATGTTATAAGAAGTATCACAACTGAGTTCAGTACAAGTGCATTAGGAGCCTAATGAAGGAAGTGCTTTAGGGTCCTCCTTGGAATAAGCATTGCAGTAAAAGCTCCTTGGGGAACATATGGCCTATTTAGTAACCTGAAAGATGACTACAAGTTTGCCAGGTAAAGGGCATAAGATAGGACTTTCAGTGAGGGACAGGGTGTGTTTGAAGAACTGGTGAAGGATAAAGCTGGAATGTAAGCCATCCGGGACCATGGTGGTATTAGGTTCTCAGCTCAGGAGTTTGATATTTCAGGCCACTTGGGGCTACCAGAAAGTTTCAGTTAGTAGGTATCACTACCTACTAAAAGATTGACTTTTTTCTTAACCAACTTTATTAAGTGTAACTTACATACAATAAAATACATCCCTTTGGAATATACATTTCATTGAGTTTTAACAAATACACATCACTATAATCACTGCCATAGCTGACACAGATAACATTTCCATCTCCTCAGAAAGTTCCTTTGTTCCCCTTTGTGATTGGTCCCTTATCCTTCCTCCCATGCACCACTTTTTTGCTCCTTCCCTATGGATATGTTTACCTTTGTAGTTTCAAATGTAATGAAACCACATAGTGTGTTCTGATTTCTTAAACTCGATGTAGGGTTTGTCTGAGATTTATACATGTTGTTACACGTACTAGTAAGTGGTTTTCCTTTTTATTTCTGAGTAAATACTCCATCAGATTTAGTTCTAAAAAAGATTACTTTGGCCTCAGCATAGGTGGTAAATTGGAAGAGAGGGCACGATGAGGTAGGGAAACCACTTTAGAGATGAAACAATTCATGTGAGATAGGATGGCCAGAACTAGGACAGTGGAAGGAGAAAAGAGAAGTGGATTTGAGAGGTATTTATGGAGTAGACATTCTGATCAGAGCTGAGAAAGAATAAGAAGTTTTAAAAATTCCATATCTGGCTTAGATTATATCCAGATAGGTAGTAGTATATTTCTCCAAAAGGGACTAGAAGGAATGAAAGCAAGTGCAAAGTGGAGAGGCTAGAGAATATGAAGTCTGTGGTGAAGCAGGGCCTTGAAGCCAGGCAGATTTACATGCTGGTTTTCTGTTCCTGCCTACTTTGGTGACCGTGGATGGATGGATCAATGGATCCCTTTGAGCCATACTTTCTTCACTGGAGTCAAAGAGTTCTTAGAATTTATCCCAGAGTGTGGCACTTACTAGACACTCAGAAGTAAGGCCCTTAGAAGGCTTTCATGTACCACTAGGGCTGTGAGCTGCAACTGAATGTGTGATGACTGCTCTGGACCAGAAGGCTTCAACATCAAGTGAATAGGCTGAGCTTTTTTGAAACTAAAAGCTCTTGTTCTTATTGCTGGAAAGGCATGTTTAAGATGTCACCTGGTGGTGGCCTATAAGATAGTTTTATCTCCATTTCTGTAATCCCCAAATCATATTGTTTCTGGGTATTCAGGGTATCACAAAGAGAAAATTTTCTTGTTTGCCTCCTTCTGCTATATACTGTAAAACCAGAGGCAGATATGTTCACTTGTATCTCTCACCACTCGCCATCTCTCTCCCTGGCGCAGGAGTTTGACCCTGAAGAGTTCTACCACCTGTTAGAAGCAGCTGAAGGCCACGCCAAAGAGGGACATGGAATTAAATGTGACATTCCCCGCTACATTGTTAGCCAACTGGGCCTTACACGGGATCCCCTTGAGGGTGAGCATGCTGCCTGGTATTGCAAAGAAGAAATTTAGCTTGGATGTGGACATGATATCACATCAGGACCCTTAGGACTATAGTATAGGAGGCACCTTGTGATCTCTGTCAGTTCCTTTCCTTTGGAATTGCTGTTTGCAACTGCCAGCTATGTCCCAGACCCTCTCACTCCCTTGGACCCAGCTAGCTTGGATTTAGAGCCACAGATCAATGAGGTCAACAACAAAGGACTGCAATCATAATTTCAAAACATGGTCACCTCCTCCACATACTTCCTGCTCCTACTGGCAACCTTACAAATCTTCCTGTCTTTGGGGTAATCCAACTCAAAATATCTCCATTCTTCTGGCTTCATGCTGAACCCCTCCATGAACCATGGGATTCCACATTCTGGTCTGTAGTTGTCCTGTTCCTGTTTCCCTGCTTCCCAGCCCCATCCAGCAAGCAAAGCAGTCTTGGCCAGCAGGATAGGTGCTGGTAACTCAGCCTTAAATCCTGTTTTCCAGGGTATGTCCCAAGTTTGAGAGAAGCTTTTATAGAATAGGCCAGACCTTGTCAGTGGCACTAGACTTCTTGTACAGTGGTACAGTAATATTTGACTTGATTGTGATCCAAAAGTTATGACTACACTGAGGATAGAGTCCCAGGACTGGATTTGTACCCCAGGCAGAAAGCACTAATCCCTACCCCACATGCACCTGTTGTACAGTGACCTGTGGGTACTGTGATACCTGGCATTGCCACACACATTGTTTCTTTTGTGTCCTTTTTATGTTTCTAGAAATGGCCCATTTGAGCAGCTATGACAGTCCTGATACTCCAGAGACAGATGATTCAGTCGAGGTAAAGAACTTTAGCTCCTGGTCCAATCCTGGAGGCTGAGCTTTGTGAAGCAAAGAGCTGTTAATTCTCTTTAAGAGAATGTCTGAAGGAAGATATGTTGTTGGTAGCTGCAAACACTGAGAAGGCGTGCTGCTTTGGGGGAAGAATGGGCAGAAGACTCCAGCAGGGCTGAGAGTTGAGCTGGGACTGGGGCCACAGATCCTCAGCATGTGGGCTTTCAGAAGCATGCCTGCCTATTGCCTTTCCCTTGTCTTCTAGGGTCGTGAGGCATGTCTGCCATCTAAAAAGACCCCTTCTGAAGAGGACTTTGAAACCATTAAGCTCATCAGCAATGGCGCTTATGGGTAAAACCAGGGGTCAGAGTATGGCCAGGAAAGGAGTTGAGTCAGCCCTTGGTCTTTTCCTTCTAGAAGTGTATGTTTCCTTAGGGAGGACCCACTCCCTTCCTGAAGTCTCTCAGAGAGGCAAGACTTGTTTCCTCTGACATTGGAGCATTGTTCTTTTCTCAAGGAAGATTCTCACTCTTTAGTAGAACAACTCTTCTCCTTGAGTTCTGAAGGCATGTGTCCATGGGACATGCCTGTCTGTCAGGAAACTTTTAAGTTGTAAGGGTTCGGGGGCCCAAGTCCCTCCCATTAATAGGCACAGCTCTACTCCCTTTTTCCATGCATTTATAAGATGTGAGGAGGCAATTTGGGTGGTGGAGAGCATAGCTCATGTTCTAAAGCCCATGCGGCCCGGGCTGGGTTGTGTTGTGTTTCCCAGGGCTGTATTCCTGGTACGGCACAAGTCCACCCGGCAGCGCTTTGCCATGAAGAAGATCAACAAGCAGAACCTGATCCTACGGAACCAGATCCAGCAGGCCTTTGTGGAGCGTGACATACTGACTTTTGCTGAGAACCCTTTTGTGGTCAGCATGTTCTGTTCCTTTGAGACCAAGCGGCACTTATGCATGGTGATGGAGTATGTTGAAGGTACTGCAGCCATGGTACAGTCTGAGCCTTAACCCTAAATAGGAGCCAGAGCCTCTTATCGGAGTGAAGTTTCAGGGCCACCTTCCAAGTCCCTTTTGGCATTGGTTTCTGCCTCAGGATCTCAGAGGCCATTTGGCCACAGTGAACACGAAGCTCCCTGCCTCATTATGAAGCTGCCCATGTCAGTTGCAGTAAGAAGCACCCGGAGACAGGATGAAGCAGCCCAGCAGCTATAGAATTCTGCTCCCAAATCCTGTACACCCTCTTCAGCTGGAATCAGACAGGAAAAAAGGAGGAGGCAGAGCCACAAGAGCACGAGGCCAGGTGCTCAGAGGATTGCATCTGGACCCACAGAAGAAGGGAAGCCATTGCCCAGGCTAATGGCTTATGAAGGGGATATTCCTTAAAGCCAGTCAGAATATTTTGGCAATCAGGTCGGGAATGTAGCTCAGTGGTGCCATGCTTGCCTGGCAAGTGCAAGGTCCTGAGTTCAATCCCCAGTACCTCCCCGCTAAAAAAGAATATTTTGGCAGTGGACTAGAAGGGCAGCATGGAGATAAACTCTGGAGTGGGGCAGGGGCTCTGCAGTGACCTGGCCTCTCCCCTTCTCATAGTTGTGTACAGTTCCCAAAGATACTTTCCCTAAGGCTTAAAATTGAAGCTGAACAAAACTGCCCATCTAATTCAGTAAGTATATACTGGGAGCTTACAGTTTTATTTTACTTAGAAACTAAAGGAAGGCCAATAGGAAGGAAATAAATGAACAAATGGTAGTCTCAGCTGTTAAATACTTAACAGTTTTCCTGTCCTGTAATAACTTAAGTCTTATCCCTATAAGTCATCATGCAGGCGTAAAGGCTTAGGTTCCTTCCTTTTCTGGCCTACATGATGGTCTTGACAGCCATTGGCAAATTCACTTTACTTCCCACTCCCCTTCATACCTGATTTCCAACCATGCCAGCAGCAGAGGGGCTAGAATTACAGTTTCTAGCACCAGGGTACTCTAGGACAGAAAACCTCAGAACTGGCTAGAACAGAAAAACTAGATCCTTCCCTCATGGTAGCCTGGGCTTCTTACAGGAGGAGACTGTGCCACTCTGCTGAAAAACATTGGTGCTTTGCCTGTGGATATGGTACGTCTGTACTTTGCGGAAACTGTGCTGGCCCTGGAGTACTTACACAACTATGGCATTGTGCACCGTGACCTCAAGCCTGACAAGTATGTCCACAATCTTGGTCCATTGCCCAAGTTCTCCCTCTTGAGTCTCTAGATAAATGCAGACAAACACAGAACATTTGAATCTATCCAAGAATGGCTTCCAGGAAACAATGCTCATGTATGTGTCCTTTTAATCCCTGACAATCCTATATGCAAAGACCATTGCCACAAGATCTTCCAGGAGCATCATAAAGCTTCAGTGACATGAAAGAGTCACTGATGGGCTCCACTGAAGAACTAAGCAAGAACAAAAGAATTGGCACATCTAATAATAGATGGCTGAATGGGTGTTGTGACATTTACTGACAGCTGTTCTGTGCCAAGCACTATATTTTGAGTTTTATGTATATTGTAGTTCCTGGTATGTTGAATTTAAGTCTAGTGTGGGAGGCAAATAATATAATATGTATAGACTACTTTTTGGAGTGCATTAGTTAATTGGGAAAATATGGGAGCTACTTTCTAAAGCAGGAGAGCAAGATGTACAGGAATGAGAGAACATGACCCATTCAGGAACTACAGATAGTATGTCTATAGCTTAGGCAATTGTACTAAGAAAAAAGGATTGACATCGGAGAGGCAGGGGCTAAATCATCAAGAGCCCTTTTAAGTTTGGGTTTTCTTTTAAAAGAGCCTAGAGAGTCTGAACAGCCTGTTAACCAAAGGTATGAAAAACATCACATGCCTTTGAAATGTCATACCTATTAAACCATGAAATTTTTGGTTTAGATTTAGAAAGATCACTGGCAATATAAAGAGTGAGACAACTTCAGTAAACCAGGCCCAAGACAATAATGCCTATACCATACCAGAGAAACAGCATAGAGTAGAAAGAGAATAGTGTAGGGAAGTAGGAAGGATGGATGAGGTGGGAGTGAGACTGAAAAGGAAAATGAGGAAGCAGAAGGAGGCTCAGATACCTTCGAGATTTCTAGCTTGGGACTGGTACAGGGTGATAAGCTTTGTGGTAGAAAGAAGCTTTGACATTAGGCAGAACTGAGTTCAGATGGCCATTCATGCTTATTAACTCTGTGAGTTGGCTGGTTGATTAAATTTTCCTAAGCCTCATGTTTCTTCTATCTAAAATGAGACTAATACCTACCTTTACTGTTAGTTACTCTAGAAAGATTTTGGGGGCCGGGTTTTTTTCTTTTAAATGGCACCAGAGATTGAACCCTGGGCCTTGCACATGCTAGGCAAGTGCTGTACTGCTGAGCTCACTCCAGAGCATTTTCAAAGCATTTATCACAGAGCTCAGTAGATGAGAGAAAATATCATTTTTCACTGAGAAGAGGAGCCAGTTAGGAGGCAGGCCTTTGTTTTGAACAGATTGAATTTGTGGCATCTGGGTAGTTGATAGACATGTGGTCATGAAAGAAATTAGGGCAGGTATAGTGACTTGGGAGTCATTAGAATAAAGATGTCAAGATGAAGCCTTTTGCACAAAATGAAGTGACTCCCACAGAGTATGCAAAGAGATCTGATTCCTAGTTTCTCTTGCCCAACCTTACAAGACAGCCATGGACATGGAGGCAGATTATGTGCCTTTTTTCCCCTTACCCTGAAATGGGTGTTGTGAGCCACCCAAGTGAGGAGAGAAAGCCAGGATTGACTAGAGCAACAGGCTTAGGATGAGCAGAACTCAATTCTGTGAAAAAGAAAGTATTGATAGGGCAATGAAGAAAAACAGTTGTGGCCAGGGATTTAGCTCAGTGGTTCCACCACCTGCCTCACAAGTGCAAGGACCCAAGTTCGATTCCTGGTACAAAAAAACCCCCAAACAAACAAAAAAACCAGTCGTGGTCCGGGGATTTAGCTCAGTGGTTCCGCCAACTGCCTCTCAAGCGCAAGGTCCCAAGTTCGATCCCCAGTACCAAAAAACCAAAACAAAACAAAAAAGAAAAACAGTCGTAAAAATAGACAAAGGGCACGTTAACTGCTTGTGCAGGAGGCAATACTTTCAAAACCAAAGCTGTTTATTACTTTCACAGCTGCCTCTCTGCTTATGTCCCACAATACCCTATAGGGGCCTGGGTGGAAAATTTGACAAATACTAAAATCACCATTCTTAGAAAACCAGAAAATAATTTCATGGTTTTGTTTCTGTGATCTTAAATAGCCTCCTGATTACATCCATGGGACACATCAAACTCACTGACTTTGGACTTTCTAAAATTGGCCTTATGAGTTTGACAACCAATCTGTATGAAGGCCACATTGAGAAGGATGCCCGGGAGTTCCTTGACAAGCAGGTAAGGTAGGATTAGTGAGACCTTGAGGATTGAATTCCAAGCTTCAGAATTAGTTCTTGGAACTGCATATTTACCCTGTGGCTGGATGTTAGTATTGAAAGCTCCCATCTTTTCTACATTTGGTTCCAGAGAAGCATTGAAATAGATAGCACATTTAGAAAATAGGATGGAGTCAGGCATTGTGGTGCATAACTATAATCCCAGCACTCTGGGAGGCTAAAGCAGGGTGATTGTCAAGTTTGAATCCTAGTTGGGCAACTTAGCAAAGTCCTATCTCTAAATAAAAAAATATTTTTATAAAAGGCCTGAGGATGTAGCTCAGTGTGAAGGTCCTGGGTTTAATCCTCAGTACGACCAAAAACATAAAAATAAGAAAGAAAGAAAAACAACAACAACAGAAAAACAAGGATGGGCCATGAAAATCATGTAAGTATAAATTGAGTCATCTTCCTCCTCGGGGTTTGGAGAAAACTGGACATAGAGCTGTTAATACAGGGCTTCATATGAGACCAGTCCTGAAGCTCCAGCCTGAGTCAAGGTCAAGGCTTTCCTGGGGCTTGTTGCTCTTGGAACATAGCTCCAGATTTTCACTGGGCTATGGCCCAGTTTCCTGAGAGTAGCCTCCTGGTGTTCTCTGATTTGACAGTTTAGGTAAAATGTTCACAAGTCTCTATAGTAGTCACGTGACTGGTAGGTTCTGTTATTTGGGAAGCTAGAGGGCAAAGGCTGTTTGTGGGACCAGATTCCAGAAGGGGCATTAAGAACTCAGGGAATGGCAATTCCCCACTAGAATTAAGATATTTTGGTTAATAAGGAAATATATTACGTTCACCCCACTGAGAGTTGCAACTCTGGTTCCCAGGGGCTCCCATTGATCTTGTTTATTAAATAAGCTGAGTCTTCACTCAAGAGTCTTTTCTGATCCAGGAGTGGGAACACTCCCACCCCTCCAGCCATCATACCAGTGAGTTGCCTCAGGATGCTGAGCCAGCCTGGCTTCTCTGTGCCCAGGTGTGCGGGACCCCGGAGTACATAGCGCCAGAGGTGATCTTGCGTCAGGGCTATGGAAAGCCAGTGGACTGGTGGGCCATGGGCATAATCCTGTATGAGTTCCTGGTGGGTTGCGTCCCTTTCTTTGGAGACACTCCGGAGGAGCTCTTTGGGCAAGTGATCAGCGGTAGGTACCATCCTGTGGCCCATGTGGAGTCATGCTGAATCTACAGATATGATTTATGCATGCACAGGTTCTAGAGCTCTTGTTTTGAATTTGTGTTTGATATGCTTCCTTCTTGGGTTTGGCAGGGGTGGCGGGGTGCATCTTTGTGGGTCCACACATACATGCACTATGTCCCCTGAGGCTTGATCTGTTTGTGTTCATGTGGCTCCCATGTGTACATGGGATTCCTGTGTTGCGTGTGTGCTTATCCTATGAGTGTGAGTTCTGTATGTGTCTGGCATATAAAGCAAGGTGAGCTGGGGCTTCCGGACAGGGAAGTCACTGATTTGCAATGCCCAATCTGAATCAAAGACCAAGCCATGGTGTAGGAAGTAGATCCTACTAGGAGAGGAAGAGATAATAAGAATTTAAAGAATTGAGGCCCCAGGCAAGGCTTTTGGGGGCTCTGGACTGGGTCTTTTTTGCTTCCCTATACTATCCTGGGGCCACTTTCTGCCTCTCTCCACTCTGCTGACAATTTCTCCTTCCTTCTTACTCCTCATGACTTCAGATGAGATTGTGTGGCCTGAGGGTGATGATGCACTTCCTCCAGATGCCCAAGACCTCACCTCCAAACTGCTTCACCAAAACCCTCTGGAAAGACTGGGCACAGGTAGGTTATGCCCCATTCTCTTTTCTTTCCACTTGGAAAAGGGGAAGGGTGGCTAGTTCACACACCCTGAGGTTCAGGCTTCAGCTCTGGATCCTGAAACTCTGCCCTGTTCCCTGTGTAGGCACAAAAGGAGAAAGGTACTGGAGCTGAGGTTTCTAGGCCTTTCTCGAGGTCAGCTTCTCACCTGACTTCCTAACCCAGACTCCAGGAAACTCACTCCATCCCTTAGCCCATGCCCTCCCTGTCTACAGGTGGTGCCTATGAGGTAAAGCAGCACCCATTCTTCATGGGGCTGGACTGGACAGGACTTCTTCGCCAGAAGGCTGAATTTATTCCTCAACTGGAGTCAGAAGATGACACCAGCTACTTTGACAGTAAGGCCACTAGTGGTATAAGGTGGAGTACAGGTCCCACCTGTTTGCCCAGAGACGTCTGTGCATACTTGGCATTGGGAGTAACTTCTCAGGGCCCTGCTGAGGTCTCATAAGGTCACAAGGATGCTACCAGCAGGGGTTCTGAAGGGAACTGTCTTGTGTGTCTGGCCTAGCCCGCTCAGAGCGATATCACCATGTGGACTCAGAAGACGAGGAGGAAGTGAGTGAGGATGGCTGCCTTGAGATTCGACAGTTCTCCTCCTGCTCTCCAAGGTTTAGCAAGGTGCGACTGAGGAGGCCCAGGCTGGAGGTTTGGAGAAGAGAACCTACTGAGGGACATACCTGGGGCAGGCTCAGGGCGTTAGGACTGGGAGCACTTCCAGAAAAACAAGAGCAGAGGTCTGGGGCTACATAAAACCACTCCAGTTCCTGATATAAGAGGTGCCAGGGTCTAACCAAGTTAGATCAGTGGAATAACTGCTTCCCCAGAGGGAAAGAAAGAACTTGTTCATTTCCTCAGTACTGGGGATATCTTTTGTCCTTTGGGAGGTGTGGCTGTCAGAGCTGTCCCCATTATATCTCCTGTACCTACAGGTATACAGTAGCATGGAGCGGCTCTCCCTGCTTGAGGAACGTCGGACACCATCCTCTACCAAGCGCAGCCTGAGTGAGGAGAAGGAGGACCGTTCAGATGGCCTGGCAGGGCTGAAGAGCCGAGACCGGAGCTGGGTGATTGGCTCCCCTGAGATGTAAGAACCTGGGGCTCAGCTGAGTGGGTGGCACAGATCGGGGGGGGGGGGGGGCCTCTGGAAATGGATTCTGGAGAAAAACATGGCAGTGAGGCAGCATTCTCAAGGACAGTCCTAGAAGAATGTCTGAGAAGATATTTTTCTATGGTTGCAGCTCTCATGTTCCTTAAGGAAGCCTGGGTGGGAGGAGGGAGACTACCTGGGTCATCTCACCCCAGGCCTCATGACTCACAGATTACGGAAGCAGCTGTCAGTGTCTGAGTCGTCCCACACAGAGAGTGACTCGAGCCCTCCAATGACAGTGCGACGCCATTGCTCAGGCCTCCTGGATGTGCCTCGCTTCACGGAGGGCCCTGAGGAGGCTAGCAGCACCCGTAGGAGGCAGCAGCAGGAGGGGATATGGGTTCTGACACCCCTATCTGGAGAGGGGGCAACTGGGCCTGTCCCTGAACGGTCAATGGAGCGACGACTGAAGTTGGATGAAGAGTCTGTTGGCCAAGGTGGCAGTTCCAGTCCAGGTGTGGCACAGTGGATAGCCAAAGGGCTTTGGCTGGGCAATACTGTGCAGAGAGAAGCTCAGCTGCATTGTTGGTCTCATTGTTCCCTTGGGCCCACAGCCATAGAGACCCGAGGCCATGGGACCCCACAGCTGGCTGAAGGAGCCACAGCCAAGGCCATCAGCGACTTGGCTGTGCGTAGGGCTCGCCACCGGCTGCTCTCTGGGGATGCAATAGAGAAACGCACCACTCGCCCTGTCAACAAAGTAATCAAGTCTGCCTCAGCTACAGCCCTTTCCCTCCTCATTCCTGCAGGTGAGGTGTCCAGGGAGCTAAGATAAAACTCATAAGGAAGGATCTTGGAATCTCCATGGGCTTGGGCAGGGGCCTTAGTGGCAGATGTATGTGTATGTGCAGGTATCAGAGACTGTGTGTCATTTTGTTATGAAGGTAGAAGTCTCTGAAGGTGTGAATTGGCGTCTTGGGTTTGTGTGTGTACCAGAGGACAGGAAGGCACCAGGTAATAATTGCAGGCTTTGAGGCAAAGAGCTAACATTCATATTCTGGCTCCACTAAAGGCTCATGACCTTGACAAGCTGTTTAGCCCTTTTAAGCCTCTTCATTTTAAAAATGTGAATATTAATAGTTCCTGGCTCATAGGATAATTGTGATGCTTAAATAAAGCATGAAGAGTTTGTATTGCTCCTGACACATAAATGCTAGCTCCTATTTATTTCCCAACGCCTAGGCTCCCATCTGAGCCTGGGAAGGTCTGGACAAAAGAGTGGGCTTTGTGGGTCAAGAACTGTGGGAAAGATGCACCTGGGCTCCGGCTCTATCTGTAACTAGAGCTGGGCAGGGGGCAGCAGATTAGACAGAGGGCCAGCCTGTGAACCTGGCCAAACCAATGCCTGTGACCCACTAAGTCCTGGCTTCTTCTTCTCTAGAACATCACACCTGTTCTCCATTGGCCAGCCCCATGTCCCCGCACTCCCAGTCATCCAACCCGTCATCCAGGGACTCTTCTCCAAGTAGGGACTTCTTGCCAGCACTTGGCAGCTCGAGGCCTCCCATCATCATCCACCGAGCTGGCAAGAAGTATGGTTTCACTCTGCGAGCCATTCGTGTCTACATGGGTGACTCAGATGTCTACACTGTGCACCATATGGTGTGGGTATGTCTGGCCATCTAGACCTGTTAAATCCCAGCTTCATCACTTTTCTTCCTTCCCTTTAGTAGAGCCTGTATGTCCTCTCTTTTGTCTCTGTCCCCACTATTCACAGAGATCAAAGGGTGGTGGTAAAGAGGGTCAGAGCTTAATAAGCAGAAACAAGCCCTATACTTCATGCTCAAGCTCCAGATTAAAGACTGTTTTCTTTCTGGAACAGCATGTGGAAGATGGAGGTCCGGCCAGCGAGGCAGGGCTTCGTCAGGGTGACCTCATCACCCATGTCAATGGGGAGCCTGTTCATGGACTAGTGCACACAGAGGTGGTGGAGCTGATCCTGAAGGTTAGTGCTAAGAATGCTGCCTGCTGTGGTCCCTGAAAGACCTCATCCTCATGAGTAGAGGAGTGGGAAGGTGTCGCACTGGGTTTTCTCCAGAAGGTAGCACCTTCACTGGCCAAGGCCCAGGGATCTTTCTCAGCTATGGGTAGAACTGGCAAACAGGACAGGAGGGATTCTTCTGTGTCTTACCACTCCCAAACCACTCTGAGGTGCCAGTGGAAGCAATTTCCTAATTGGAGAGAACAAAAATGGGTTTTATACAGACATGTTGGTGCAGGGTCAAAAGCTGGAGCTGTGATACAAAGGGTAAGGTCAAAAGGAAGACCACCACCACCGTCATGATTTAGCCACATCCTCTGCTCTGCTTCCCAGAGTGGAAACAAGGTATCTATTTCAACAACTCCCCTGGAGAACACATCCATTAAAGTGGGGCCAGCTCGGAAAGGCAGCTACAAAGCCAAGATGGCGCGAAGGAGCAAGCGGAGCCGGGGCAAGGATGGGCAGGAAAGGTAAGTGAGGCTTGATCCAGAGTCTGCTCTGGTCACATGGGTGTCAGCCTGTGCTGGGTGCCTTAGCCCTGGGCCCAGTGTGTGTTATGCCCTGTGCCTCACCTCAGATGTACACTCCTCTCTCTGCAGAAAAAGAAGCTCCCTGTTCCGGAAGATCACCAAGCAGGCATCCCTGCTACACACCAGCCGCAGCCTTTCTTCCCTTAACCGCTCCTTGTCATCAGGGGAGAGTGGGCCAGGTTCTCCCACACACAGCTATAGCCTTTCTCCCCGCTCTCCCACTCATGGCTACCGGGTGCCCCCTGACGCTGTCCACTCAGGTACAAAGGGCTCCTTGCAGAACAGAGACAACCCCTTGGAAATAGGGAAGTGTCTGGGCTCTGTTTCCCACATGTCCCACTCTGAGTCTCTTTCAGCCCACCCCTGAAAGGTCCAGTAGTCTTGGGAGGAGTTGATGAAGGGAGGGAGTGACTTTGTTTCTATAGTCTGGGCCCGTGGTGAAACACTGGAAGGCTGAATCCTTGGACTCAGTCTCTTGCCTCAGTCACTTCTCACAGCTAACAAGGCTCTGTCATTGTTTGTCTTTTTGTATAAAGTGGGAGGAAATTCATCGCAGAGCAGCTCCCCCAGCTCCAGCGTGCCCAGTTCCCCAGCTGGCTCTGCGCACACACGGCCCAGCTCCCTCCATGGTCTGGCACCCAAGCTCCAACGCCAGTACCGCTCTCCACGGCGCAAGTCAGCAGGCAGCATCCCACTGTCACCACTGGCCCATACCCCTTCTCCACCACCAGCAGCTTCACCTCAGCGTTCCCCATCACCGCTGTCTGGCCACGGAGCCCAGGCCCTTCCCACCAAACTTCACTTGTCACCTCCACTAGGCAGACAACTCGCCAGGCCCAAGAGTGCAGAGCCACCTCGCTCACCACTACTTAAGAGAGTGCAGTCTGCTGAGAAACTGGCAGCTGCACTGGCTGCTTCTGAGAAGAAGCTACCCTCTTCTCACAAGCATGGGCTTGACCTGCCCCACTGTGAGCTAAAGAAGGAACTGCCACCCAGGGAAGCCAGCCCTCTGGAGGTAGTTGGGACGAGGGCTGTGCTGTCTGGGAAAGGTGCATTGCAAGGGAAGGGAGTGCTGCAGCCTGCTCCTTCACGGGCCTTAGGCACACTACGGCAGGACCGAGCTGAACGACGAGAGTCACTGCAAAAGCAAGAAGCGATCCGTGAGGTGGACTCCTCAGAGGATGACATGGATGAGGAGCCGGAGAATACCCAGAGTGTACAGGAACCAAGCTTGGCATCCGACCCAGAAGTGGGCAAGAATCTACCCCGCAGAGGAGCAGGAGAGGATGAGAAAGAGGAAATCGTCTTGCCCAAGGATCCAAGGAATCAGGATTCAATGGTCCCAAGCCTACTCACAGGGGTCTTAGTGGGGCATTCAAGAATAGAAGGTCCTAGTGTCCCCCAGAGGAGGCTGGGGAGCCCACAAACCTGTGAGGAGGCTACCAGCTCCTCCTTACTAGCCCCACATCTGGATAGGTCTAGACCCACAGATCTCACTCCCACTGAAGGCTGCTTAAAGGCCCAGCACCTCCACACCCAGGCACTAACAGCACTTTGTCCCAGCTCTTCAGGACTTATCCCCACAAGCTGTTCTGCTGCCACCTCCACCACTGGGAAGCTAGGCACATGGTCTTGGAAATTCCTTACTGAGGGCCCAGACAGGGACTCCACAGACAGAAAGACAACAACAGCAGGTGGGCTAGCCAGTCCTCGGGATTTGGAAACCACAGCTCTGGCTCATCCTAAGAATCTATTTTCTGGGGAGGAGGGGAAGTCACAGCCACTCAATTCCCCCGGGCTGGCTCATCCACCTCATGAGGTTCTCGCCCAAAGCCAGCTACAGAAGTCTGAATGTGTACAAATAAAGAAAGAAGACCCATCCCTGAGCATCACCAAAGTGCCTGATGCCTCAGGTGACAGGAGGCAGAATGTTCCACACAAAGGTTGCCCACTCACCCAAGAGACTGAACCCAGCCTACTCTGGAGGGGCCAAGAACCAGGGTGCCATCAAAAGCATCAGGACATCGTCTTGACACCCGATGAGTTGTTAAAGCAAACATAGCAGTTGTCGCCATTTCTTGCACTTAGACCTGTGTAATACACAATCCTGGAAACCATCTTTGTCTTTTGCTTGCTTCTTTTCTTAAATTGTTGTACAGGTGACTAGTGGAATATAATGGAGACTAATACAGTTTCCATCCTTAGTTGAAAGGCACCTAATCCAGAGTCACTTCTCAGAGACTGTGAGCTCAATCATGAAGAATAGTTGATAGGTAATTTTCTGGGTGTGTAAGAGTAGGGGTTGGTTTAGGAAAGAATGTCCAAAGTGCAGCATATATATCTGGTATGTTCAAGGAACCAAAAATAATTCAAAGTGGAAGTGGATCTGTGGGTTAAGAAAGGGCTGCTTCCAATGGTCCTTAAGGAATTTAGACTTTGTGTGCGTGATGGGGAACCAAAAAAGGCCATGTAGCAACTAATATTTCTACTTTACAGATAAGAAAGCTCAGGCTTTTCTGCTTGAGATACAACAGCTTGTGCAGAGCTGGGATCGGAACTTAGGTCTATCTTGATTCTGGAATTCACATTCATCTCCTAACTTGGAGGGCCTTTTAGCCAGTAAACAAGAAAAGAATGGTACAAGGACATGAGTTTAACTCTTGTATGTATTTGAGCTCTTTGTGGGACATCCAGAAAGAATTGGATGCCTGAGTTTGGAACTCGAGAGAAATCTAGACTAGAGAGAGATGAGAACCATCAGTGTATCCAGCAGTGATACATTCAGGAACACTGACATTTAAAACCAAGAAAAAAGATTCAGAAGCAGTCGCCAGGAGAGAATCATAAAATTGAAGAAAGGAAAGTTTCTAAATGGAGGGAGATTGATAAAATGCTGAGAGGTCAAGTGAGATAAAAATAGAAAATTGCCAATTTAGGGCTGGGGATTTAGCTCAGTGGTTCCTCCACCTGCCTCGCAAGCACAAGGACCCGAGTTCGATCCCTGGGTACCAAAAAAAAAAAAGAAAATTGCCAATTTAGTAGTAAGTCCTTACTGTTGGTAGCCATTCCTGGCTGGGCTACTGTCACTGAACTGAAGGTGTACATTGTCATGTGCAGCTCTCAATAAGTAGAACTGTACTTGGTGAGGAAAACAGAAAAGAAAGAGAACATACTGGGATCAAGGTATAGGGGAGAGTCCAAAGATATTATCCCAAGGCAAGGAGCCGGGCTTGGTGGAAGTGCCCAGGCTAGAAGAATGTTGTCTTCTGGCGAGGCCCAACTTGGAAACCTATCTTACACTGATTGTTGGTCTGAAGGTGAAGCATCAGGAGGCTGGGCTGCTGGCTGGGTGCCTCTTGCATCCTGGAGCTTTATTGTCCTGCACAGAGAAGGCAGTGACCGCCAGAGGGCGTGCTCTCCTGTGATGGCAGAGCCCGCAGTGGGGGTGGGGGCATTTCAAACTTCCAGTACCCTAAATTTCATTTCCTCCAGTTACTCAGCTGATCCTGGGCTGTCCACACTGGACATTGGGAAGATGGGCCTCAGGTCACCTCCTGGAGGATAGGTAAGGAGAGTACCCATGACAGGATCTGGTCAGAAGCATACCAGACCACAGGTGAGGGGTGGGGGGTTTGATAACCAAACACCCTGTTATGCAGATGGGGGCTGGGAGGAACCTGCTCTAAGTGCTGGTGATGCTCTGCTTGAGAAACACTGCTGGATTATTACAAAGGCAGTGAAGATTTTTCTGAAAGAAAACTTCAGAAAAGTGCTATCCAATTTATGGTTTAGGAAGATTACTAGCTGCAGTGTGGACAGGCTAGACTGGAGTACACAGGCCAGAGAGAATGATGTAGTCAGTGACCCGGTGTGGTGGCCTGAACTAGGATAACAGCAGTGAAAAGACAGCTCTAGTTGAGGGAAGGGGAGGAACAGGTGTGGAGCCATCAGGAAGCATATGAGATAAAGATTGCCCAGGTAGTATGCAGAATGAAGAAGGAGGCCCAAGACATTTGAGATTAGCTGAGAGGACACAGCCAGTGAAAAGACAAGGTAGGAAATGAGATCCTGAATCAGGAAGAAGCCAGATCATTTTAAGAATTTTGTAGTTCACCCAGGTGCAGTGGCAGATAACTGTAGTACCAGCTACTTTGGAGGCTGAAGCAGGAAGATCACTTGAGCTCAAGAGTTTGGGGTCAGCTGGCAATACAGCGTAAGATCCCATCTCTTTTTTAAAAAGAATTTTGTGATTCACTCTAGGAGCAAAAGTTGTTAAATGTTTTATACAGGTTTAGATTTGTGTTTTGCAAAGAACTCGTTGCTATAATGAGAATGGACTTAAGGGGAGCACAAATGGAAAGGAGGCCTTTTGGTATAGGGTTAGACGTGGTAGTGAAGTTAAGAGAGGTGATCTTCTGATTGATATTTAAGATAAAATTAATATGGGTTGGTAAAGGGTTTTATGTAGATAAGCAGGTCTACCAAGGATGGTGACTATTTCTGATCTATTTAGCTACAGGAATTAGAATTCCATTCAAATATGAAACAATGGAAGAGAACCACGAGAAAATGGGAAAAAAACAAAATACATGTGGAATGATTGACTTTAGTCAGATAAGGACCCCTTCATAATTTAACAGTTGGAAAGGAGAGAGAGGAGTTATGTGGCAATAGGGAAGTTTATAGGTTTTGTGGTAGGAAGGAATTCAGTCACCTATATGTTTTTCTCTGAAACAAACAAGCCTGAAGTGCCTGTGGGACACCTAGGCACTCAGTGGCCAGCCAGAAGGTAGAGTTCAGAAGAGAGAACTGGGCAAGAGATTTTTGAATCTGAGTGTCCCAAGCACATAAGTGGGAACAACTCGTGATTGAGGGAAACCATCCACAGTTCACAGCAACAGGCTTTGTTTTGTTTTTTATGTTTTGAGACAAGAGTCTTGCTATGTAGTTCAGGCTGGCCTTAAACTCACTCCATAGCCCTGGCTGATCTTGAATTTGCAGCGATCGATCCTCTTGCCTCAGCCTCTGGAGTGTTGGTATGATAGGAGTGCACCACTACCCCTGGCCTCACAAGCAGTAGTCTTGAAAGTGCTGTGTAGCTAAAATATACTGGGAAGGAAAGACAAAGGCAAGATCATTTAGAACAACAGACCATTCCCCTGCTCAATCTGATTTTTATAATCGAGTACACATGTAAGTGAAGCCTGAAAAACATGGCTGAGAACTGCAGTGTCCTATCTAAGAAGCGGTCTTCTGTGTGCTGATTATGTTCCCAACACGTAGGAACCTAAAGTCCCTTGAAGGAGTGAACAGGGCCTGGGGCAACAAGAGCCCCCACCTCCAAGTAGAATGTATTATTTCTGAGCAAAACTACATGATGAGAACCAATAAAGAAATGGGAAGGGGGCCAGAAATGGCTCTCAGATTTAATTTCCTCAATCAGTATCTGAGTCTGTGTCCTGTTTTGGGCAGAGAAAACTAACATCATGCCAGTGATCTCTGGGGGTCCCAGTTCAGAACCAGTCTTTTGGCGTTTACTGAGAGGTTTAGGAATTTTCATGATTTTCAGTACCCTAGATTTCTTATCTTGTCCCCTCCCCAAACCTGCCCCCAGCCTACCCCTCCATAGCATGAAGACAAAAAAGTGTTTTATTACAATGTCTTTATTGCATTACTGGAGGAAGTTGGCCAGACTATCCCCTCTTGGGAAAGGTAAAAAATAAAATATCCAAACAGTACGGTATTACCACTTAACCTTCCCCCCACCCTCCCCCACAACTGCACAGCAATGTTTGAATACATCCGGTGACACAAACAATTTGCAAAAGTGGTCTAGGAACTACATCATGAATTGTCCCAACATAAAACACACAGTTGGCTTCCTTGTGAATCATACTTTTATGTAAACTACATGAATTTTTTTGGACTACATCAAAGACAACAACAGGTTTTTCACAAGTAACAACAGGGCACCAAAGTCACATGCTGGAATTTGTAAGGAAATAATGCTGTCTGTCACAAGTGGCTTGAGCTAAAGCAAGGTGAGCAGTTGGCAGCAGGGGGCCTACATAGGTCCCCATTTGGACCCTCTGGTTTCTAAGGCCTACTCTGGAGTCTTAACTAGCAGCACAGATCAACTTAGAAACCAGGACTAGCCCAGATGCAATTCCTGGCTCAACAGAATGCATGGGATTGGTTCCTTGCAGCAAGAAGAAACCCATGGAAGACACCAAACTGGCTCTCAAAGCTTCTTCAGAGTGTCTGAGGTCTAAAGTAAATGGGAGATCCCATAAAGTCTTGGAGAGGGAGTAGAAATGTTTGGAAGTCTTCATCCTTGGCCAGGTCAGTGATAAGGTCACAGGCAACCTACCCAGGCATGAACCATGGCCAATTTTTGGTAGCTGTTGCCAAGAAGAGGCACAGCATTGTTCTGTGATGAAAGCTCCACTTGGAAAAGAAGGGCCTAGGATTTGTGTCTAGTGGCCCCATGCTGCTTGCAGGCTGGTGGCTGGTTTATGTAGCCAGGAGAATAATGAGCCCCTCTGGTCTTGATCTCTTTACCTCTGTCACAGTGAGACACAGAGATTCCCAGGGTCCAGATCATGGGACAGGATGTAGAGTTAGACTCTCAAGAAGGCCAAGACTTGCTCCCAAGCTATAGGATAAAAGAGTAGCATCTTGCCTCTCAACACACTTGGGCCCCAGTGGTTGATACACTGGCCCCTATGCCATTTCCACTGGCTCAGGATCAAACAAATCATGTGATAACTGGTTAGAAGGGATACATTCCAATTTCTCAAGTCATCTTGGGTCTTAGATCCTTCAATAAATTCAAGAATGAAAAAGGGATAAAAAGGAATGTACAACTGACAAGCAGCAGCTCTTCTCCACAAGCCAGCCCAATTATAGATACTCAGGTAGTGCTTGTTCTCCCTGCACACCCTCCATTTCTGTCCAACAAGGTACAGACGCACATACTCGTCAACACTACAGGGATGTATCCCATTTCAGTTTGGTTTAAGACATTCAGAAAATACTAGAACTGTATAGGAGGGATTTCTTCCACCCAATCTTGACCATCAACTGCTTATTAAGCAGGTTCAACATCAGGTGCAAA